TAGCAATGTTTCTACCCATAAGTAGAGTGTATAAAGCTCAACATATCACTCGTGTAAGTTTTGATTCTAATATTAATGAGTATGACTTTAAGGCATTTTCATTATTACCTTCTATAGGGAGATCTTAAAGAGGCTGATGAGCTATTCCTATCTAGATCAAGAGGTGGAAGGGAGGATGAGTCTGCTCTTTTCGAGTCAATTATGCAGAAAAGAATTATACCACCTATTAGTGCAGATCTCGTGCTCAATCAGGCGCCCGAATATCTCTTGTGGTTACTCTCAGTGAAATCAAATTATCAACTGTGAGTCCATCCGTTAAATCTTCGATATTTATTTACTTCCTTCGTTTTTTCATTATTGCTTGTTCTCTTTGTTGTATGTTGTTAATGTGGGACAGTGGGAGGAAAAAGGACTCTATTGTTTTCAAGTCAACTATGTAGAAAATGATTAATTATACCATCCGGTGGTACTATAGATCTTGTGTTCAATCAAGTGCCAGAATAACTATCAGAGAAATCATCTTATTAATTGTGAGTCCGTCTACTTGGCCAAATCCTGAGCTAAATCTTCGACATTCATTTTCTTCCTTTTGGTTTTCATTATTTACAGGTCTAAAGAACTATATTCTCAATAATACAGACCACTAATGGTGTATTGGAATATAATTAAACTCAGTTGAATCTCATCAATGGAGGCTCGAACGGTTATCACCAGCCGAAATTATTATCACCAAGTCAGACCCAAGCTTCAACAATGATGGATTTCAAAGCTTTCCACCAAAAAAAATTCAATTCCGTACTTCAAAAGACCACACCAAATCAACTTCCAAATTCGTTTCAGATGTTCCACATTAGAGTCTCGACTCTCGAAATGCCTACTGACACAAAGCTTTTCAGTTTAGTTTTTACTTATTTGCTTTTTAAGGTAAACTTATTTAGCTATGTATACATTTCAACATTTGAGAGTGTTCATATTTCTTTTAAAAGTATAAGTTTTTTCTAACACAAATGTGATTAGTTTTCCTAAATTGAACATCCATAATTCATGTAATATGATATTGGTACAATTTTCTTATCATAACTCCTTCTCTCTCTTACTTTTCTTATCTTGCATAGAGGTGATACGCATTTTTATACCAATGGGTGTGTAAAGAACTCTAAGTACTTAATGTTGAGTCTTGACGTTATAGTATTTTAAAATTTTACAAGCAGCTTATTAAATACTACATAATATACACTTATACTACGTGTTGTGTGAAGTTACTTAAATCTTTTTGTCTATGATGTGTAAAATTCAAATTAGAAAAATACTTATTGCTTTTAACCTCCTCTGACATAAAAGGCAAGTAGTATGTATAAAAAATGCTTCTTTTCTGTCCATAGCGATAAATCAGATATGTCGTATATGATGTATCTTTGTTTGCTTGGCAGTGTCTAGAAGTGGCGTAATAAGCCATTTGATCTTGTATTCATGGTAACCTAAGTAACATAATTACTATTTGAAATGTGTGATTGCCTGCATATTGCCATCTTATCTTAGTATTAGTTATATATATCAACAAATCTGATGATGATAAAATGAAGTTGTAGAAAGGATTAACTTTTGGCAACATTTAGTTTGGGATATTCATTCAAGCAGTGTACTTTTTTGTAATTTATTCAAAAGTTTTCCTTATATGTGACTCTTTCTAATTTTCATTCATGTACTTTTTGCACTTCTGTTGCAGGTAACTTGTACCAACGGAGATGTACATCTTTATCAGGTAAGTGCTTTTTTCACTGTTGTTGCCTTCTTTGGGAGCTATTGGTTTGAGTTACATGGCATTCACTATGTCGATAAAAAATAACTTTGGGGAATAGATGATCACTGTTGTTGCCTTCTTAGGGGATATTGGTTTGAGTTAAATGGCATTCAACATGTTAATTAAAAAAAAAACCTTCAGAAAATAGATGATCCATTTGGCACTCTGGATGAAGTTCTACAAACTTGTAAGCGGACTGAGCATCTCTGCAACTGTTGGTCTGGCTGATCATGCTGTTAGCATTTGATCAAGTAAAGTTCGAATATGACAGATGAAATAAGTTGATGTACGAACTGCATGTCTTCATTTTCCTTTCCTCTGAGCTAAAAAACCATATCATACGTATAGAATTCTTTTGGGGGTACATTCAGATTTGTTGGAGCACCTTAGACATGATGTAAGATTTGTTAATATAAATTATTTTAATGGTACATGTCAGATAATTCAATCTCACTACATATCATAATATTGTTACGGATCATTTCAGTAGGTCATTATTTGTTTTCCTTCAAGAACCTAATAACCGTGAGACTGATTCTTATTAACGACCCTTCCTTCCCCATTTATTCCTGGAGCTTTTTGCATATTGTACTTGCATTTAAAAAAAAAATATTTTTCTAATAATTTATACTTTATTAGGTTGCTACTACTCAAAGTGGATGAGAGCTTAATTTCCAACGAGTTCTTAAAGGCACCATAAAATTTTACATTATTGTAGAGCTATTTTTGATATTTGGAATGTCAAACTTTTTTGTATCCTATGAGCTTGGAAGAAACTCATTTGTACTTAATTAAGTACATACTATATTGTACTATTAGACAGCCTTTGGTCGCAATGCTTTGATTTAGAGGTATTGGTGTATCTTAATTTTAGATATTGTTTTCAGTGTTTCACGGGTTTCTTTTTGCCATAGAATCATTGACATAATACAACTTGTAAGAAATCGATTTCACCATTAGATCTCCCACATATAATGATACGGTGTTGGGCCCGTGCTAAGCACGGGCCTCAACCTATCTAGTATATATATATATATATATGATGGTCATCAATTAATGGTCAAATGAATTAAGATTCATAAGAACTGTTAATGAAAATGAAGGCAATCCATTTCAATAAATGGACATTGACAAGCCATATTTTGACCAAAAATAATGTTGATTTTAGAGAGAATCAAAAGATATTAAGACCTATTTAATTTAATAGATATAATAATAGATAAAATGAAACGAAGCGAGTATCTTGAATTAATTGTTCTTTTTTTCTTTAATCACTTAATTAGTTTAAGTAAATACGCCATTGTTCATCTTTACTTTTTCAATATATTAAAAATAGTTGTCTAATTTTACTTGTTTAGTTTGAAATATCAAGAGCTATAAAATACCATTTCTTTTCCAACATTTAGATGACTTATTATTAATATGAGCGATAAATATTTATTATTTTTTAAAGAGTGTATCAACTCAAACACGAACAAGTAAATATGAACCGATAAAGTATAAACAATTTAAATTTATAAAACAAAGTCCTAATATCCTAAAGTAGTATTATCTATTTAAGATTTTTTCTAATTATGACATTTCATCGCTATTATTTTCCTTTTTAACCATGACTATCACCCCACCATTATCAAATATTAACTACCACACGCAAATCACAATCATCTTAGTCACAATCATCACCGTCACAATTACCACAATCAACTATTATCACTACTAACCATCATATACTATCATACCATCAACCACGTACAATCGTACATCATCAATATTTCACCACATCGTTAGCTATTACTTCATTTGCCACAATTATCAATGAAAACCATCAATTGCCACTATTCTAACTTAAGTTTTACTACAGCGTCTCATTAAATTCATTGTTATGCAACGATGAAAAATTTCATTTCATATTTGATGTAATCATAACATCTCATTCTATCAAATAATCATATTTTGATCTTCAAAATGCTACCATGTGACTTATTATAATGACAAAAGAAATAATATCTATTCAAACATTATATTCATTAAAATAATACCGCAATCGAAGTCAAAGTAGGCAAATGAGTGTCTTGAACGGTCAACAATCCTCAGCGTTTAGCCGTCTGAATGCATACGTATTCCTTGACTTCATATATTACGTGGTTGACAGCCATTTTTTACCTCACTAGCCCCCACCTTCTCCAAGATTGGTCTTTTATTTGGAAAATTTACTAAAAACATCTCTAATTTTTTAACTCTAGAGATCAGCTCTATATTATTATTGCCTACAAGAAACCTCAGCCGCCTTTATTAGTTTGCAGGTTTGTTTTTCTCTTCATACACAATCCATATTCACTGATTCTTTCTTCTGGTTTTTGTATATATGCTGAAGTCAACAGTGATCTTTGTGTTTTCAACTGCAAAATATTACAGGGTTTTGTTGTATATGAGGTAAAGTTGGTGAAAAGACTAACTTTTTGGAGAATTGGGTGTTTAGTTTTTTGAGGTTTTCTTTATCTGATTTGTGTTTTTGGGTTGTTTGGTGAAGTGGGTAAGACTAATTTTAATGGACATATTGTAAAGATTCTAGCTTTTTGCTGAATTGGGTATTTGGGCGTTTCTTGATCTGGTTTGTTCATTTGGGTTGTTTGGTGAAGTGGGGTAAGATTAGTTTTAATGCCCATGGTGTAAAGATTCTAGCTTTTTGCTGAATTGGGTGTTTGGGTATTTGGGGGCTGCTTGATCTGGCTTGTTTATTTGGGTTGTTTGGTGAAGTGGGGAAGACTAGTTTTAATGTCCATAGTGTAAAGATTCTAGCTTTTTGCTGAATTGGGTATTTGAGGTTTTTTTTGATCTGGTTTGTTTTGTTTTGTTTAAGTGATTGGTTAATTGGGTATGTGATTGAATCTTCTTATCTGGTATCTTTGTAGAAGAATTTTCTATTGGAGTGTAGCTGTCTCTTAGAGCTTAGCTTGAATTCCTAGTGAAAATTGGAGTTCTGAACTGTTGAAAGACTTGGTTTTTGGGTTCTGTTCAATTGTTTAGCTGAAGTCTGAAAGTATCTGGACTGTGTAGTTATTTTGATTGTTGAGTGAGGTAGTTTCCACTTTGATCCTGTTGGAACTGGAAGAAAAAGTTGACTCTTCACCACGTCGATTGCGGAGGTTGATGCTGCCTGATTAATGGTTTTCTGAACCAAAGGTTCCTGTTTATGGATTTGTGACTCTGACTGGACTTCTTGACTTGACTTGGAAAGGAGGAGGCTTGGCTTGTATCTTGTTTATTGTGACTACTAAAATTTTTGTAATGGATCCAGTATATATTGGTTTTACGAAATGGGGCAATTATGACACTTTTTAATGAAATGGCTGTAGTTCTGCTGTGTTTACTGTTGCTGTTGCAATTTCCGCTAATTTTTGCTTCTCGGCTGCTGGGACATAAAGAAGCTTGTGGAATTTACCGAGTTGACTATTCAGATGATCTAAATCGCCAAGTATTTTATGTAAATGGCATATTAGCAGATAAAGATTTATTCTGCAAAGCCCTCAAATTTGATCATGCAGAGCATTGCGTTATCCAAAATGTTGGGTTTCAATATTGTGGATTGGACTTATTGATTGGTATGCTACAATATTGTTTTCAAATGTCTTACCAAGAATACTCTTAAGACGTTCTTCATAGAAATCATTTAACTTTTCTGTATTTTCCCTAATTGCTTCCATTGGATATTGCTATTTATAATTTGTGTAGTGATATACTTTGTCCACACCTTCTTGCAGATGAGTTGCATTTCAAGTCTGGAAGAAAATTTATACACAAGGTGGTCAGACAAGGATCCAACGGACACAATTTCGATGATACATTACAGAAGGCCACGGAAAAGCATGCTGATGATATTTCAGTAACCCCGAAAAATTTGGTCATGGCAGTACCAGCATTTTTTATTCTATGCTGTGGCTTAATTTGCCCCTGTTTTCGTTCAAGGAAGAAGGAAACGGACCAATCCGCTCTTGTGAAGGACCCTAATTCAAGTGAGTTAACCGTTTCAATGTTCCTGTATTCAGTTCATAGCTTTTTACATTCTTCTGTACAGCTACTTGGTGCACAAGCAAAACATGGCCATCCTTTTTGGGTCTTTCTTTCTTTATTCAACAAACTGGCGTTTCTGATTCGAATTTAAGTACCGACGGATGAATTTTCCAATGACATTACTCCTATAGTATCTGTCTAGTATCTGCATATGATTAATTTTGGAATCTGTGCTGAAAGTCTGATACTTGTTGCTTTGTTGGATGTGATGGTTATTTATAATGATATTACATTTACCTTGCAGTGGACTCTACGTGCTCTTTGGAGATGAATTTTGTTCCTGAAAAAGCACCGGGCAGTCCACTACGAGTACCAGCTAGTCCACTTCGAGTGCCGCCTAGTCCCTCTAGATTTAGCATGTCTCCGAAACTCAATAGAATTGGCTCCATTCACCTCAACATGAATCAAGCTCTCAAAGCTACCCAAAATTTCTCTTCATCCCTAAAAATTGGAGAGGGAGGGTTTGGAATGGTCTACAAAGCTCAACTACCAGATGGCCAAACAGTTGCCATTAAACGCGCAAAGAAGGTAAGTTACCATTTAGTCTAGTGGTCTTGAATTTGCAAATCTTATAGTATATGTTATGGTTCTTTTTAAGAAAACCATTTGGAACAAGCTTTCACTATTAAGTTGAAGTTGCATTAACTGATATACAATTTAACGGAATGGGTTAATAGAGTTTACTTGCATTTTAAAGTTGATTGAAGGTCTCCCAGCACATTATTATGGACTCCTAGTTTAGTAATTCTTTGAATTGATTAGGATATTGTCTTCGCTGTTGGAAATTAGACAGCACCCAAGGGTGTGGCTTAGTTGTCATTCGTCAATGAAGTGGGAGGATGGATAACCATGATGTCTCAGTTGCAAATTCCAGCAGAGACAAAAAAACGTTTGGTGATTTCTTCCCATATGCCTAAGCTTTGGTAGACAGAGTGGCACAGTACCTGTACTGGTGGGGTGAAATAATGAAGATGCATGCTACCTGGTCCTGACACCATCGTCATATTAAAAAAATAAAATAGCAAAGGCATTACATCTGATTAATCTAGTAGTTGATGTTGTGAGGCATCGAGCTTTGGCTGATATGTGCAAGTCAATAACTTAAATCAAGAAATAGAGATAAGGCTGACAGTGATAGGGCCATCATCTCCCAAGCCTTGCATATTTACTTCCCAAGCAGGAAACGCCTCATATTTATTTGTTCCTCATATTAATTTCCTTTCTGCAATTTACCTTCCATAATTCAGAGGGTTTTTTCTTGTCTGGTTATTTGAAATCGCTACAAGTGTAAAGAGAACAATGATCAAGGATTTGCTTTCCTCTGCCTTAACACTTGGCCATATCGCCAAAATGCTACAAATACAAAATAGATGAGAACTTTCCCGGATTACAAAGCATGCATTTAAGGGAGTAACAAAGACCGATCTTTTCCAGGGAAAGAGAGATAAGTAAGCAGAATGTTGGACCATATAATGCATCTTCTATGAATATGCTATAGATGATAATCACCACTTCAGAAATCAGAAACGGGTCAATAATGGATGGTTTTAGTTACAAGCTCAATTGCTAGATTAAGAGCTATTTATCACCTGCCAGATTACAAACATAACGTAGTTCTCTAATGTGAAGAGTCTTGTTGGTCATAATTCTCTCAATGATTTAGGTTTTGTGAAGATAATTTGTTTATTCGACTTCTATGCTTCCTCTCTTGTAGGCAAAGAACTCTCATTTGAAGACACGTCTCAGTTTTTATCTATGATTATGTCTTTTTGGTTATACCAACATTATTATAGAAGGCATAGCTTCTTAAATTCTGAACATGCCTAGTAATCGCTTGACACTTTTTGAATTGTTTTTCGTGTGAAGAGGAGGAAAGGCAAAAAAAATTCAGCTATAAATTGATATAAGAGAGAATCCACGAGCTAGAAGAGAAATAGGGATATAGGTGACCCTGGGGAATATATGTGGTCGTACAAGTAATATAGTGATTCAAAAGTCGAGTGTCGAACCGACATAGATTTATGATAAACAATTATCAGACTTAACTATTACCAAATTGTTAATAGAGTATTTTTCCCAAAGAGTGATTTACATTTATCAACTACTTCAAGGATATGAAATTGATAAAACTAATGAATCTAACACTAACAATTGATCAAGGACAAATATGCATAGATTAGGGTGGTGCACATGGCTTAACAAATTTCAGACGACCAATTTTCTCGCGATGCCTATGTGGCACCTATGCCATGGCACAAACATGTAGTGATGCGGCACCTCTGCAATGCAAGTGGTGACTCGCACACTGTTGCCAGCTGCTGCATATGCTTTTTGCACTTTTCCCACGCGACACTATGCGACATTGATCCTTCCTTGCTCATTTTAATCCTTTTAGCTCTCAATCCAAAATGTACCTAAGACATCAAGACAAACCAACATAAGCTCAAATACAATGAATTAAGATCAAAGGCCCGATTAAAGTATGAAGTACTAGGGGGGAATGATTAGATATTTGTTGCCAAATATTAAATCACTTCTGTAGGAGGAAAGATTGGCTTTTCTTTCTTGTTCCTTTATTTTAGCTATTAATATCTAGTTTTATCTGTGAGAAAAAACTGCAACATTCTAATATCTGAATATTTTACAGGAGCATTTTGATGCTTTGAGCAATGAATTTAGAAGTGAAGTTGAGCTTTTGGCAAAAATTGAGCACCGTAACTTAGTTAGGCTTCTTGGTTTTGTTGATAAGGGAAATGAACGCCTCATCATTACGGAATATGTAGCTAATGGTACACTACGTGAACATCTAGATGGTATGTCATTTCTTAAACTTAGTTCACTAACCACAACTTCCATTCTGGTAAAAATGTGGAGACAATAATTTTGAGTTCTCTGGCAGGTGGACGTGGAAAAATCTTAGATTTCAATCAGCGACTTGAAATTGCAATTGACATTGCTCATGGCCTAACTTACCTCCATCTATATGCTGGTATGTTACTGTTCATCGCTAATTATTCTCTTTTCTTAGTTTGCAATGGTTTATTGGTGCTTAAAACTCCAGTACTGATCAATAAATAAAGATGACGAAATGGGAAAAGATGATAGATTCGTTTAGTCGAGATCTTTTCATTCTTAGCTTTCAAGACGGACAAGTATAGTTTCCAAAGCCTTGTTATTTATCCGGTAGCTCCTATGTGTTGAGCTTCAAAATTTCATAATCCGTTCTTTTAAACCAGGATTCAAATGTTTTGATCAGAGTCGGTGCTGTTTTTAGTTTTGGTCCTCCAGTCTAGTTTGATCATCTAGATTTGACGCAATCCTATTTTTGTTTTCCACAGAAAAGCAAATTATCCATAGAGATGTGAAGTCATCAAACATTCTCCTGACAGAGAGCATGCGTGCCAAAGTTGCAGATTTTGGATTTGCCAGGCTTGGAGGCTCAGACGCCGATAAAACACACGTTTCGACCCAAGTGAAAGGCACAGTTGGTTACCTTGACCCTGAGTACATGAAAACATATCAGCTCACACCAAAAAGTGATGTCTACTCATTTGGGGTATTGTTATTAGAAGTCCTAACGGGTCGTCGTCCTGTGGAGCTTAGAAGACCTCCTGATGAGAGGGTGACACTTAGATGGGTAAGCTCTTTTTCCCCGTTAAGTTAATTTGGGTAAATCTTGTTTTGTTGGCTCTACCGATCATCTCTGTTAATAGTTAATTAACTACACTATTAACTTATTTCTGTTAGATGTGCTAATTGTGTCTACAGTACTCTGTTACTTTCTCCGGTATCTTTCCTTGAATCTTCCAAAAATGAATAACTTTTGAAGGATCAGACACACATCTTTGCTCCGGACAACACACAATTTAGGCATTTAGAGAATGAGAGAACATGTAGTTTTTTTTCAAATAAAACAGAAACTAATCCCTATATTAGCTTATCGGGTACAAATATGATGTGAATATGCAGGTTTTTAGGAAGTACAACGAAGGTAGCGTATTGGAGATGTTGGACCCTCAAATGAAGGAATCCGTAAATGGGGAGATACTAGTGAAAATGTTTGGTTTAGCCATTCAGTGTGCAGCACCTACACGAAAAGATCGTCCAGATATGAAGATCGTTGGGGAGCAGCTTTGGGCAATTAGAATGGATTATTTGAGGAACGGAAGGAGACAGTAATGTACTTTGCATATACAGTACTGTCTTCCGGCGATTGACAGAAATGACAGCCGGAAATTCGAGAGCGGTCCATCTAAGTTTATTTCTCCTAGAAAAGGAAAAAGATGCAAAAATGCGCTCAATCTTCCACTTCTTGTTTGTATTTTGTTGTATATGTGAGCAGTTATAAGGTACTTCTTTTCTTGATGTTGATTCATTGAGCTACAAGTGAGTAATAGGAAAAGACGCCTTTTTGTTTTTTATGATAGATGAAAAATTCCCGATTGCCCGTGGCATGCGGTTTGAAATATTGTGGATAATTAGCCCGCCTCTCTACCCTTCTTTACTTAAATATCAGGTTCTTATTTGTGGTAAGAGTTTGAACCTGTGATGTGTGTCTTTTCAACGCGAAAAAATGTCGTTGAAACAGTATGCTATGCTTTTATTGCTAATGTGACAATAAATAGGATATCATTTAAGGGTAAAGAGTTCGCTTGTTATATTGTTCACAATCATTCAATAGCTGCTTGCTGGTGTCCTTATAATATGGAATATAGCACAAAGTTGAATTGGAAGCTACTTTTTGACCCTCTTTAAATAAAAATACTTCTTTCTTTCTATCGATGTATCAATTTTCAAATGTACTTGCCTCAGGGCTTAACAAGTAAACATCATTCGATGTCTGCTTGTTCTTCCCTCTTCAATTTCCAATAAACAACATGATCTTGACCTATTATTTGTTCAATTTGATCGATTTGATACTTAGTTGATTCTTTTATCTTTTTATGTTTTCACTGATAACTAATTGATAACGAACCTGAGTGACTTTTTAGGACTAATTCAAACAATTTTGGTTGAGGCAATTCTTTTGTTCGTTGCCAACTAATCTAACTCCTGAAATATATAACATTCTTGATCCTTTCTTTTACTAGAGAAGGCCGGAATCATAAATGGGTTGTCTCCTCACTGATGTCGGTACAATCGAGAGTACTTTCCCTCATTATCCTTATATGGAAAATTTTATTACATTTTCAATTTATTATTATGAAATAGTTTAGATGTGGAACTTTGCTATAACTATGGAAAATGTAATTCTTAAATCATCAAAAGGAGCAGTGGTAGAATAGAACCCTCCCACGGTACAGACCTGTGTTCGATTCCCGACTGGTGCATTATCTGAGTATAATTAGTGAGAACTAGGATCCACACCTTGTCTGATACCCGACAAAATAGTGCATTTGAGCCTCTCTTTTTCCATATTTTTAAATGTCGTTGGAGATTACAAGATGGTAAATCGAATTCAATAGTATTGTAAAACTATTCACCAACTTGGAATGGCATTATGGATCAAACTGCCCAATATTAGAAGGGACAAATTGTGTTCTATTAAGAAACAAAAAGATTTTAGAACTAGAATTGGTGGGGTGAGCCAGGCCAAGGCAGTAGTGCAACACCAAGGCGACTCTTGAAGGTCTTGATAGCAAGCTACCGTGGTGGACCTTCCCCCTAAAAAAATAGAGTTAATATCGTGTGAGTCAATGACTCACATATCAGATATTAAACTGATAAGAACAGATACTACACTTGATCTTAGCCAAAAGGCCGAGAAAGGTATGCTTTTCCATGAGTTATGCCGCGCTATTTTATATGTCACTTGTTAAATAAAATCTCTCTTTCTTGGCAGTGTGGTACTTGAAGAACTTATTATACATTTCTCTCCAAAAACAAATGCTAAAAATGTTTTCTTTTTTCGATGTGCATTCACTAATCTCTTCAAGCTGATCTGAAACATTTCATATAAATACGATTCGTCATACAGATTTCTGGGATAAAACTGGCAAATTAGAAGGACTCTAAGAAGTCCATCTATCAAAATTAAGGCCATTGAAACAAAGTTTTCGAGTTATTTTTTGATTCGTCGAAGGATTTTCTTCATTTATTCAACATTTCCTCCCTTGAGTCTATGCATTTAGTGTATTTGTGTAAGTTTGTCCCTTTATCCCTTGCTTTGTATTTGAGCTTTTTGCTTGATCAAAATTAGTTTGACAATTCTGGCTGGCATCTATTCCTTCTTTTTTTCTTTTAATCCGTCATTCTTTCCTCCTGTTATAAATGTTGTGTAGTGTTAGTTGTTCATTAAAAAAAAAACTCGACTTTTTAAATTTAAATCACACATATGACCAACTCTTCGTGTGTCTCAATAGTGAAACCAAAGAAAAGAAGAAACAAAGATCAGTATATGAAAAGGAAAAAATAAAATAAAATACATAAGGTATCAAGAATTGATCAATACAATTTGAATTACTTTTAACAACATTAGTACTTAGTGCAATCTGTAGGAAAAAAAGATACTTTATTGTCCACAAGATCATATCCAGATATAGCAATTTCATCTGCAGGCAATATTGTAAGACAAACCAAACCTTCCTCCACTTGTGCAAATGTGCTTGAAGGCGACAACTCTAAATCCGCATTTGTAAAATGTGTAACAATCGTTGGAGCATCAATCGTGACATTCTAAGATTCGTAACATAGACGAAAAAGTCTTTGATGGATCATCCTTCCTAGTAGCACTAATTGAATCTACCAGTATTGATTCCATATTCAACATTGGATAGATATAGCATGAAGCACCAGTGGTAGAATACTACCCTGCCACAGTACAGACCTGGGTTCGATTCCCGGCTGGTGCATCGTTTGAGTGCTGTGAAGATAATTGCACAAATATGTGAGAGCTTTGGGTCTTCACCATGTCTGATATTGACGACAAAATAGTGCATATGAGCCTCTCTTTTTCCATATTGTTTTCTTTCTAAAAAAGTTTTGGCTTGGGGAAGGTGATTACAAGATGGGAATCGAATCCTATAAGATTATTATATATAGGATCATAGTTCAAGGCGACTCTTGAAGGTCCCAATAGCAAGCTACCGTGGTGGACCTTTAGAGTTAATATCGTGTGAGTCAATGACTCACATATCAGATATTAAACTGATAAGAACAGATACTATACTTGATCTTAATTAGCCAAAAGGCCGAGAAAGGTATGCTTTTTGATGTGTTATGCCACACTATTTTATGTCATTTTGATACATAAAATTTGTCTTTCCAGCCAGTGTGGGACTAGAAGAACTTCTCTGCTATTTAAGATCGTGATGATATCAGTATACTTCCATTTTTTCCTAAAAAAATATTAATTAAATCTTGATTGATGAAACTTATGATTAAGGGAGCAAGAATCATTTGTCTGATGGATCTCACAAAATCGTGAATTGAAAAACCTACATGAGGACACATTTGGTTGATGAAGAGTTGTTGGACTCAGCCTCTTCTGTTTCTCTTGTTGATGTTGGTGAAAAGGATTCAACTACTAGATCGACTTTCACAAGTTTCAGTGAATCACCTTCCTGGAAGTTTAGATATATTAGAGATATAATTAGAAGCTCAGACTTGATAATGGAAGAATTTATGTTGAGTAAGACTCAGTGTATTAAAGCTCTTAATCTTTTTGACCAGTTGGAGAATCAGAAGGTTCGAACTAATAAAAATGCAGAAGAGCAGCTGACGATTAGGAGAAGAGTATTGTTTCATTTGGTGGTCGAATGTTTGGAATTCAGATGTAGACAGAGTTCTGGCAGAGGTTTTGAAGCTTGATCAAAATGGACAACATTGGTCAAAAGGAAGGAGTGGTTGTCCACTTTGCTCAAACTTCAAAACCTCTACCAAAACTCTGTTTACATCTGAATTCCAGACATTCAACCACCGAATCAAACAACACTCTTCTCCTAATCTTCACCCACTCTTCTGTATTTTTACTAATTAAAGCCTTCTGATTCTCCAACTGGTCAAAGAGATCAAGAACAATAATACTTTGAGCCTCACTCAACACAAATCCTTCTATTATCAAGTCTTAGCTTCTAATTATATCTCTAATATATCTAAAATTCCAGTAAGGTGATTAATTAAAATTTGTGTACGAGTCAATGTAATAGTTGAATCATTTCCATCCGGATCAGCAAGAGAAACGGAAGAGGTTGAATCTCACAACTCTGTATCACCTTCCCCCAAATAGGTCCTCATGTAGATTTTCCAATTTATAATTTCGTGAGATCCACCAGACAGACAAATGATACTTGCTTCCCGAATCTTAAGTTTCATTTGTAAAAATTTAATTGATATATTTTCTGGGGAAAATGGAAGTATATTGGTAATAACAAAATTCAGTTCTTCATTCAATGTAATGACTTGATAACATCTTTATACAACCAAATTAGAGAATGATGACTAAAAAAAGGCATAAAAACAAGTAGTCATTATAGGTGTAGAAAGATATTTGACGAAATAGTGGACATCTAACAGATTGAATTCAATATTTATCATCATAATCTTAAATAGGAAAAAAATAGGATGAAACTAAGTATCAATATTATTACCATCAATAGTTAAACTTTTGTAGCTATCCAAAGAGTTGCAACTGCCTCCTGAAATCGAAGGTTCCAAACTTGAGGTCAGACTAGAACAAGAGAGTCTAAATTCTCTTTCACACGTAATGCTGCTGGCAGTTTTAGGATTTTCTACTCTATTTTGAATCCTGAAAGTGATGCAGATAAGATTAGCCTAGCTAGTACATTATACTTTTTTTTCCTTTCTAAGAAAATGCAGTATAGTAATAATACAAAAATAGGAATTCAACAACTGCAATAATACCTCAATCCTGAATTAGTTGGATTTTGCATATAAATTCTCAACATCAATTTTATTCCATCTCCACCATTTTTTCGAATACTTAATAATTTGTAGTACACCTTCAAACAAGAAAGCAGAGTCAGTTGAGAAACGAAAAAAAAACGAAGAAGTCAAATGGCTAAAAAAATGAACCTTTGAAAGCTGATCTCAATAGCAACAACAACAACAACAACAACATTAGGGTGGGTAATGTTAATCACCCATAACCAAAGGGGAAGGAAGCTATAGTTGGGGAGTACAAGAGAGTACATCTCCGCAGAGGCGATGAAAACAAGGTGAAGAAGAGGCGGAGATCACAAATTAGAAAACCCTATCATTTAGGGTTCTTTTGTATTTATAACATCTCGCACCTAGAAACGACTATAAAGAGTTTAAAATATGAAAATATTAATTTTTGGAAAGAATAAGGAAATTTGGAAATTTTGTCCAAGTTAAGAAAGTGAGTTTTGGCCATTTTCAAATGGCCATAACTCCTAGATCAGGAGAATTTAGGAGAAGATATTGATATGGTTGGAAATTCCTTGGATAAATATTTCCAACGCCGCCAAGATTGCACGATTTTGACATCGTATGAGTGAGATATGCCT